TGCAGCACCTCTCCCAGCACCTGCAGCTGCAGCACCTCTCCCAGCTCCTCTCCCAGCACCTCTCCGAGCTGTTGGTGTTGTTGTAGGAGCTGCATGAGAGGTTCTTGTTGCTGGTGTAGTAGCACCACCACCACCATTGGAATTCCTTGCAAGAGGCTTGCCTAAACAAGAAGGAAAATGAGTTAGTACTTACAAAAATGGAATGTACAAGAAGGAAAACATGTTACTACTTATAAGAGGATTACCACATATTTGTTCTTCCTCAAAGCCAGCTCAGGCTTCAACTGCTTGAGGCAGCTTGTGTACCTATGTCCTTGCAGTCCACAGTTGCCACATGTTATAGTCCCCATTCTTGATGTGTCCTTAGGCTTTTGAACTTCAAATTTCCCCTTGATCCTCTTCTCTTTCTTTCTTCCTCTCTTCACTTTAAATGCAGGTGGGTCAATGTCTGGACCAGGGGTCTTTGTCCAGTCATGCTCACCAGGAACTGGATAGATCATTGGTTCATAAGCTGCCACATAAAATTCTTTCTTGAAGAACTTGCTGATATAATCCTCTGGTTTTCTTTTGCCCTTGGTTATTGCTGAGATGGCATGGTTACATGGGATGCCACTGAGGTCCCATTTTCTGCACCCACATGTGTGCACTTGCAAGTTAACAGCATGGGTTTGCTGCCCACTTGTAACTTGCCACAAGTCCACACCAGCTTGAATTGGTTTGCAATATTTGGCCCTCTCCTTCTCAACCTCTAGCTTCTCACTATAATGGGGTGTTATGTCCCATCTAGCTTTCTTTCCACTCTCCCTATTCCTATGCCACCTCATCATCTGCTTATCCTTTATTCCATCACACATTGTCCTAATTGGTTTCTTCCTAACATCTAGGACATACTTGTTGAACACCTCAGACAAATTGTTAACTACAAGGTCAGTCTTGCAGTTTGTGTCAAATGCATGCCTTGCCCATGCTTTCTTGGGTATTTGACAAAGCCATTCCCAAGCTTCCACACATTCATCTCTAAGGTCATTCATTGCAATGTTAAATTTGTGTTCACTATATGTATAGGCAGCATTATCCATACACTTCTTCAGATCTTCCCCCCTAAACCCAGCATTTTGGAAGTTTGCATAGATATGCCTAAGGCAGAACCTTTGGTTGCAATTAGGAAAGACAACATTGACTGCATTTAGTAGGCCCTGGGACACACAATTAAACTAGCTAAGCTGCTATATAGCACAAAACAACCATATAGGAACAAGGACATAAGATGCGAGCACATACCTTTTGTCTATCTGACATTATTGTATATGGACCAAACTGTCCCTCTTCTCCTCCTAGGCAGATTTTAAGTTGGTGTAGAAACCAACACCAGTAGGTGTGTCCTCTTGCCCAACAATACCAAATGCTAGTGGGTATATATTGTTGTTGCCATCTCTACCAGTGGCAGCAAGTAGTTGAGCACCAGCAGTTAACTTAATGAAGCACCCATCAACACCTGAATGAGCAAGCAAATTCAATATTTAAAACATTCAAATGCATTTCAAGATGAAACAATATGTAACTAATGCACAAGGTGAACAAACTAACCAATGAATGGTCTGCACCCCTTGAGAAACCCCTCCCTTGCTCCATTGACGCAATAGAACATAGCATGGAATCTTGGACCTGGATGAGGGATTTTTTCAGTGGGTGTTGGAGTTACAGTAGTGACTACTACTCTACTCCCAGGGTTTGTATCCATCACTGTCTAAGCATAGTCTTTCAACCTAGGGTATTGCTTCTTGTGGTCTCCTAGCACAGCATCAATAGCTAGGTTCTTTGCTCTATATGCCATTGACTTGGGCACATCCACACCATACTTCTCCATGCAGGCATCAATCAAAGTCTGAATGCTAGTTGTTAGATCAGATCTGAACAGTGACCCATACTTCTATGCAAGCCACTTGGCACTTACCCTTGTTGTCTCTGTACTAATAGGGCAAGTGTGCTTAATTCTCATCTTCTTAATTACAAAAGTAGTTTCACCTTTTATAACTGCTGCCACCATAAAGAAGTTGCAATGTTTTTGGTTGCATTCTACAATTATTCTTTGATCTGAGTTCCTATGATATTTGAAGTTTCTGCCTTAAGTGATGTGTAAGTTCAACAAAGCCTCTCTGAATTGATGTTGATCCAAGAAACACATCTTTAGACATAATTGTTCATGTGGTGCCTCCATTTTCTCATTGTACCATTTTCTAGGAGGCCTCTGCTTTGCCCTGCTCTTACTTTTCTTTGGCAGCACAAATGACAATGGCTCAAAACCATCATCATCAGCCTCCTTCAACAATCCTTTCTCTTCTTCATCAGATGAAGGTTTGAAATCAGGTTCCTCCTCTTGAACTACACTTGAATGTGTCCTTGTTGTAGGCCCTCTCCTAACTGGAAGCTTCTGTTTCTTCTTCTTCTTCTCTTCATGTACAATTACAGTTTCTTCATCCTGTGAAACAACTTTGTCATCTTCATCCATTTGAAAAGGTTCCTCAACCTCTGTGTCACCCTCATAATGCACCACTTCTTCCTCCTTAGATTCTTCATCATCTGTTTCTTCCTCTTCTATTTCATCATACTCTCTCTGTTTCTTTCCCTCAGCCATCTCTATGTCATCAGCATCACCCATATAAAAAGGTGGTACATCACTGTCATCTTCACCTTCACAATCAGAACCACCACTGCCTTCATATCCCTCTTCTTCTTCTATTTCCAAAACAGCTTTTAGTTTTCCTTTTACATTCTTGCTCTCTTGTGTGCAAACACCAGCACCATGAGCTACACTGCAGCTGCTACTCTGACTTTCAAACGCAAATCCTTCTTCATTAACAGCATAGATGGGTGGCTCACTGAGATCATATAACACAGGCTCTTCATACACAACAGTGGATAATTCTTGCCTCTCAAACTGGCTGCAAGGAGGTGGACATGCCCTCACTAGCAACTTTAAGACCTTAGACTCCTCAACCTGCTTCTTTACTAATTGTAACTCAACATTACACTCTACCATCTCCAATCCTTTCTCCCCTAAATGTGGATTCTCAATGTGAAACAGCAGATCATATTCACTAAATCCTTGGGTTTCCATCACTGCAATCATATTCAGGTATGTTACATCTGAACTGTAGAGCTTCCGCTCAAACATTTCTGAAGCATCAAAATAGAACCTAACATCCAAAATGTCATCATACAAACTGCAAAATGAAATAACATACAAAAATGGTTAATAAACAATTTTACTTAACAGATAGGCTAACATATAAACAAAGCTTTGTTTAAGTTAACATATAAACAAGTTAACATATAAACAAAGCTTTGTTTAAGTTAACATATAAATTAAACAATTACTACAAAATCAAACAATGTAAACAACTATCTCAATACAACCCTAATTACAGAGTGGGTACTTAACTCACAGCAAACTGATGGTTTGTACTTTCAGATAAGTAGTTAACAGAATTGTCCACTAATGGTGCTCTGCTCTAGTTAGGACTCATTTAATCCACTATGCTTCTCTGCTCTGCTCTGCTCTAGCTAGGTAACACCTAATGCTGCTCTGACAATTTGGACTAAGAAATAACAATGTAATCCACTAATGTTGCTCTGCTCTGCTCTAGTTAGGTAACACATAATGGTGCTCTGCTCTAGTTAGGACTCATGTAATCCACTATACTTCTCTTCTCTACTTAGGACTAGCAATTAGAGTGCTAAACATGCAGGCAGTAAACCCTAACCCTAATCCGCAATTTCAGTTTGCAAGAATGGAACAATGGAACACTTACAGAACACCACCGAAGCCATGAGTCCAGTGATGGGCGGTGCTAGGGTTGGCCACCCAAATTCGCGCCATCTTCAGCCTCTGCACCATCGACAACGCCGGCTCCGCAAAATCTTCATTCTCGCTACTGTACTCCGAGCTGGAGTAGCCGCCACTGCCATCGAGGCCTAAGCGGGGGAGGTCGCCGCCGCTCGCATCGCCCCGGCCATCGCCGCCTGCCGGAGTCGCCGAGGCCATCGTCGCCTAGGGCACATCAGCCGCGGGGGAGAGGAGGGCGCGAGGGAGGAGCAGCCGCGGGGGAGGTGACAGCGCCTAAGCAGTTCGATCCATGGCTACGGCGGCGTGGTGTGGCGGGCGGCGGGGCGGGCGGGGAGGCAGCCGCCGGCGAGGGCGCGAGGAGAAGGAAGAGGGCAGAGCGGGGTCGGGGTCTGGCTCGGTCGCACCAGTGAGACCTAAACGGTGCGAGCCGGCTTCGTCCCAGTCAGCGCGCAGGCACGCGCGCACTGGCCAGCGTGGCGCCTGACGGGCGGGCCCAACGGTCAATTTACCTGTCAATACGTATAGAATGCACTTTTAGTCTTTTTTGCAACGGCTCGCCCCAATCTTGATACTGACACGTAAAAATTACCAATCTTGGTACCAAACTGCTTCCAATGCCCCAATTGTGGTATTTCTGTGCAATTTACTCCAATACAACAAGAGTAGCCTGAGCGAGCATACACATATATGCTAATAATATTAGTATGTTCACGAAGAACGAGGCCAAAAAAAGAACAGCACACACTAGATCGACAAAGATGAGAAACCACTGCTGGTACCAAGAATACAAGAGCACACCTGAGCGAGCATACGAAATATACACAAATAACGAGGCAAAAACATTCCGACATAAGTACAATATTCACAAAGATAATGAGAAACCACTACCAATACTGATTTTTTGGTTGCTGATGAAGCGAACGACTAACAATAATACTTGTCAGAACTTACAAAGGCGACGACGACGACCAGCTCAAGGAGAGCACTCGACAGTTGAGGCCGCCGTCAGCTATGGACCGACCGACCGACCAAAGGATGGACGCGGAACAAGAGAGACTCCCAACGCACTACTAGCCGTAGCAAATTACAAAACGGAGCACAAGACGACGCAACCTCGACTCGTCCAAGCCACACGAGGAAACCACACAAACCCTCACCGGAGGAAACGCGACCTGGACATGGCGACAGACCTGAACCGGGGGACATATAGCTGGGTTGGGGAGCAGGGCACATCCGGCGCCTCTACTCCGCGTCGCGTTCCTCTTCCTCCTCCTCGTCGTACTCCTCGTCGGCGGTCGCGTCCTGGTACTGCTGGTACTCGGCGACGAGGTCGTTCATGTTGCTCTCGGCCTCGGTGAACTCCATCTCGTCCATGCCCTCACCCGTGTACCAGTGCAAGAAGGCCTTCCTCCTGAACATGGCCGTGAACTGCTCGCTCACCCTGCGGAACATCTCCTGGATGGACGTGGAGTTGCCGACGAAGGTGCCCGCCATCTTCAGCCCCCTGGGCGGCATGTCGCACACGCTCGACTTGACGTTGTTGGGGATCCACTCCACAAAGTAGGACGAGTTCTTGTTCTGGACGTTGAGCATCTGCTCGTCCACCTCCTTGGTGCTCATCTTCCCTCGGAAGCAGGCCGAGGCGGTGAGGTAGCGGCCGTGGCGGGGGTCTGCGGCACACATCATGTTCTTGGCATCCCACATTTGCTGAGTCAGCTCAGGGACTGTGAGAGCACGGTACATTTGTGACCCACGTGACGTCAGCGGCGCGAAGCCAACCATGAAGAAGTGGAGACGGGGGAATGGGATGAGATTGACAGCAAGCTTGCGAAGATCGGAGTTGAGTTGTCCAGGGAACCTCAGGCAGCATGTGACACCGCTCATGGTAGCAGAGATAAGATGGTTCAGGTCACCAACTGCATTGTTAGAACCAAAGCTGTATCAGTGTCCACTTCCAACTGAACATAAACTTATGCATGAAAATTTTGGGAGATGTCACAGAAAAATAAAGATCAAGAGAATATTAGCTTACAGGAAGGAGTGGCAAGCTTTAGCGTGCGGAAACATATGTCGTATAGAGCTTCATTGTCAAGCACCATACACTCATCAGCGTTCTCAACGAGTTGGTGAACGGAAAGTGTAGCATTGTATGGCTCAACGACGGTGTCTGAGACCTTTGGTGATGGGAAGACAGAGAAGGTCAGCATCATTCGGTCAGGGTACTCCTCCCTAATCTTAGAAATAAGAAGGGTGCCCATCCCAGATCCAGTGCCTCCTCCCAAAGAATGGCAAACTTGGAATCCTGTAAAGGAAGCAAATAAAGCCACATCATTATTCACAAGTGCAAATGACGATGCAGCATGCAAAATCAGACAGTGAACTGCAAAAGAGTACAAAGGATGCAGCAATACTCCAAGGATACAGACATTTTAGCAATGTCACCATGTGCTCCACAAAAGAGGAGTTGATGAGCAATCAAGTTAGATCAGTAATGCTACACAAACATGTTACTTGGGCCTGTCACATTAAATAGTACACCAAAATAACTAGGGATGACAAAAGGAATGGAGCTAAGGACTTCTTTATTCATCATTTAGATGGGGACTCCTTTTCCATTTTGTATAGGTAAAGTTGACCCAGCTCAGGTATGACAGTTCTTAATTTAGATTTTCAACAGGGCATTAACAGGTGCAAAGTGGAACCTCAAGCAAGCCAATCCAACACTACCTACTTTAATAAAATATCAGTCCTGCCGACAATCGAGATTGGTGAAGCTAGCTAGGTGCTTATCCAGAATAGCTAAATTAATTTTGACTAGCGCATGCACACCATCCCTAAAAGCTAAGGTGCCAACATACTATTCACAAACAGACCACACAGTAACAGGACAACCTATATATCCTACCAGCTTCCACTCTTATGTTCTAAATTAGGACAACATAGCATCTTCGTAATGGACAAATTGGACACGACCTATCATCGTACTAGACTTGGATCAACAGTAACCAGCAGTTAAATGATCAAATTCATGCAGATAACACAGAACTTGACATGAATTGATGAGATCAACATATCAACAATTAGCACGCCCCGCATAAATGCCAAACAGCGCCTCGCATAAATGCCAAACAGACGCCGTCGTAATGACAACCTGAGATCACATCTATAACTGGATCTAACTCCCCGGCGAACGGCTCGGCCCAGATCTGAACGCTAACTCATCAATCCCTGACAGAAATTAACGCGGAAGAGGTGATATAATTAATTACCCTGGAGGCAGTCGCAGTTCTCGGCCTCCTTGCGGACGACGTCGAGGACGGAGTCGATGAGCTCGGCGCCCTCGGTGTAGTGACCCTTGGCCCAGTTGTTGCCGGCGCCGGACTGGCCGAAGACGAAGTTGTCGGGGCGGAAGATCTGGCCGAAGGGGCCGGAGCGCACCGAGTCCATGGTGCCGGGCTCGAGGTCCATGAGCACGGCGCGGGGCACGAACCGGCCCCCGCTGGCCTCGTTGTAGTAGACGTTGATCCGCTCCAGCTGCAGGTCCGAGTCCCCCGCGTAGCGCCCCGTCCCGTCGATCCCGTGCTCGTCGCAGATCACCTCCCAGAACTTGGCCCCGATCTGGTTCCCGCACTGCCCGCCCTGGATGTGCAGGATCTCCCTCATCGTGCCTTCGCCGCCGCCGGTGACGGTGGTCCGGTGGACGGTGGTGGTGGTGGTTGCGGGGGAGGGGGTGGAGGTGGGGGATTCGGGAATTCGGATTTCGAAATGGAGGATGGTGTTTTCCGGGCCTTTATATTGCGAGCGGGGAGGGAGACCGCGGGTTCGGGTTCGGGCCCGGGCTCGGCCGCCCGGTGGTTGCGGGCCGCCGGGCCTGGGTGGGGCCCGGCCTCAGTGGCGGTAGAGGGGGTGTGGGTGTGTGCTGGCGTAGCGTGGGCTCGGGGGTGGCTCGGTCGCTGGACCTGGGCGTGCCAGGCTGGCGTAACCGAAGCCGCGGGCCCCACCCGCCGCAGCTTGGCGGTCCGTCCAGTGGGAGGATGAGCGGATGGGATCGGCTACCGACGGCTGGGGCCGGCGACGGAGCGTGGGGCCCGCGCACCGGTTCGCTGTGGACGGATCGGGTGTGGCGTAGCTGTCAGCGGGGCGTGTGATTGTGATAGGCGCTGGAGCCACCTGGCAGGGTCGGCCTGGGGGAAGGAAGAAGGATTCGCGCGGATGGGGACGAGAGCTGCCGATGACGCGGCGGTAGGGCCGGCCGGCCGTCCGTCGCCGGTGAACAAACCCCGGCGGAGAATCCCACGATGTCTAATTGTTCACGGAAGATCATTAAACAGTTGAACGGGTGCAAACGATGGCATATAGTGGTACCATTTCATCTATACCTTCCCTATCCACCGTCCCCGCAAAGGGGAAAAGAAAACACAGCCCCTCCGTGTCCGAACAGGCCCTGAACTGATCGTAGTACCTACAAGTTGGTGTGCTTGTGCACCAAGCTTAACAAGGGAGAATGATTAGACGGCGAATGATAGCGGCGGCGATTTTACGGAGGCGATAGGGATGCTTCACTAGCAATCCAATCAGTGTGGTGGTGTGCTGGACTGGACTGTATGTAGCAGCTGCAGCCTGCAGCTCGGTGGGGAGGGCCGATGTGTGTATTGGACGTCAAAGCACGTAGCTGTTGCTTGGGAGAAACGAGAGAGACAAATCAACAGCACACCCACCACCCTGAAACATGCGCGCCTCTCGCTTTCAGCAGCGCGTGAAGTCGGCCCGATCGGGAAACAAAAGCAAGCAAGCAAGCAGCTGTATGTATGTGATCCTCCGAAGTGGCTGAGATCGCAAGCCAAAACTTCCTGTCGCGCACGAAAAGGGCACTGAAACCGGCTGTTCTTCCTTTCCACTCGCAGTGTAGCAAACGGAAACATCCCTTTTATTGTTACAGCCATTTCTTACGATGTCCAAAGTTTTCAACCATGGCGATGGTGGAAAGATGATGATGTTACAACCATCCTAGCGGGAGATCGATAGGGGGAACAGCCACGCCCACGCGGACGAGCTGGGAGGCTGCTCTCAAACACTATCAGGTGACCCCCTGCCAACCTTGGATGGAACACGTAGGACACCGGTACGACGGCCTCGATTAAAGCTGGGGCTAGAACGATTTCTTCTCGTAGGACACCAGCCCGTGGATCCCTCCCTCCACCTGAGCGGCGCCCGTCCTCACCTGGTAAAAGGAAGGTTGTTACCAAGACTGAATATCAGTTCTGTTGTCAACACTGTCTATTTCCCAACTGGGAGATACGGAGTACAAGACAAAAAAATGAGGTTCCAGAACAGTCGATGTAAACCTGAATCTTTGGCCAGTATAAATAAACTATTTGAAATGACAAACATGTATGCAAGCCATCATCACAAGCAAGCATCTTCAGGGAATTTTCTATGCACTGCACTGCACATCATCCATGACCAGGCATGACACTTCTCATTCACTGTAACAAGTGCTATGACCACAATTCTACATTAACTGTGGTGCGTGATTTTGGTTCTAAGTGGGACCGAGGCTAGCTATGTTGGTAAGAGAAAGGGACAGATTTGGGTCCCTATTTTTTTTTATAACACGGTAAGATCTGATCTGGAACCATTTTGTCAAAAAAGTGAGATTAAATGCGCCATGGTCTGAAGAAAGAAAAGGAGTGAGCAGATAGGTGCAATAATAAAAGAACGTTTGAGCTTCCATTGCAAATCAAATTTCGCTTGGGACTGAATATGGAATAGCATAACCTTAAAAGTACTTTAAGACTTAGTGATCCAGAATCCCTCTAAGCATTGAATATATGCATTCACTACTGATCATGACAAAGTAAGGTTTCATAGTCTGTACACGGAACAGATTCTTGAAGAATCAGCACAAGGGAATACTTTTGGAAGGAGTGCTTTGGAGCGGTACCACCCCAGGAAGAACAAGGATATTAATGAGAAGGGCACACATCCTAAGGAAAGAAAAGCACCTTAAACTAGATTCAGTGACAGATATTCTCATACCAGTGATCCATTCAACAGGCACGTAAACTAAAAATAGGCTGTTTTGCAAGGTAAACAATTAAACAAATATGAAGTCTGGGAACTGCAAAATAGCTTTCAGGCAGATCGCTGAGTCAGTGACCGTTAAGGACAACAATCTATAGAATTTAGCAGTTAGCAAATGAGCGTTGAATACTGTATTACGGATAAAGAAGGCACAGTGCCATGTCCACCCCGAAACAGAACCAAGAGACACTAGGGGCATGTTTGGTTGCCATCCACACTTTGCCATACTTGTGTGTCACAAGTGTGGCATGCCACAGTTTTTGTGGTGGCCAAATTGGTCGCCACACTTGTGGCAAATGTTGACTGGCAACTGAGTCTATGACAAATGGGGTATGTGACTGAAAAAGTGTGGCATGCCACAACTGTGGCTGCAACCAAACATCTGTCCCAAATTGCCACTTATGGCACAAAAGTATGGCAAAGTGTGGATGGCAACCAAACATGCCCTAGGTCTCAGTGTTAGTTAATCCCCATTCCAAAATCAACGATTTATGTCAGCTGCAGATATGAAAATATTCTTTTGGCCTGTGAATATATGTCAGCAAAGAAAAGCACCTTAAACTAGATTCAGTGACAAATATTCAATAACGCAGTTATCCATTCGACAGGCACGTAAACTAAAAAAATAGGTTATTTTGCAAGCTGAACCATTAAACTGATATGAGGTCTGTCAACTGCACAATAGATTTCATGTAGATCATTGAGTTAATGACCATTAAGGACAACAATCTATAGAACTTAGCAGTTAGCAAATGAGTGTTGAACATTACGGATAAAGAGGGCACAGTGCCAATGCCCACCCCAAAAAACAAAACCAAGAGACACTATGTATCAATTTTAGTCAATCAGAAATGTTGCTCATGAACAAAACCATGGGCTTGTGATTTATGTCAGCTGCAGATGTGAAAACATTCTTTTGTCTTTTGAATATTGTTATATGAGTTGTACCTAAGAAACATGGGCTTCGTCCATTATCTAGAAAAGAAATAACTGCTTTGCACGTTTGTCAACAAAAAACTATTTCTCTAATTTTAGGTATTTCGAATTATGAATCACTCCAAATAAATAAATAAAGAGGTAAAGAGCAGATATGTAATCCAGCAAGTGAATACCTCTAATCTAAGAGTCTCCGCTCGTAAAAGATCATGAGCTGACTGCAAAGAGGATGCACCAAGATCTTGGAATCCTTGCTTAACAGCTTGCATTGTATACGGAATAAACCTCAGAACAGAACCTTTGTCAGCTACCGCCCCAACAACTCCCTGGGCAACTTTAAGCTTCAGAGTATCACCAAGATACCTTGCATCGCTCCCCTTTGTCATGGCTTCGAGGGAGCCCATACCTCTGTATTTTTTTACTCGGTGGCCGTCCTAGAAAAACACATTCAAAGAATCACAATATTAACCAGAAGCAAGTAAAATGGCAAACTTCAGTTACAATAGAGCATAAAAGTAAAGCTAAACCTAGCATAAGGCTACACTTAAACTGACAAATACATTTGAATACTTCGATCAACTTATACATCAACCCTTAATGGCAATGTCTGGTTAGAAGACTTCATGACATCTAAGTACACTGAAGTACTGAACTTCTATGTGGCCATTAAGGGACCTTTTAAATTGCAGTGGGCAAATAGAACATGGTTGTAGTTTTCATCAAAAGTAAGAGTTTAATCTCTAATATGGGGATTTGTGGACTTGAGCACGCATCACTACAGGACATTCAAACTTAACCCTGTTGCAAAAGGCTAAAATGTACCTTGTATTCATAGGCCCCAGGAGCCTCATGGCTGCCAGCCAAGAAACTGCCCATCATGACAGTTGATGCCCCCAGTGACAAAGCCTTCACAATATGGCCAGAGTATGAAATACCACCATCAGCTATAACTGGCACATTGTGATCCTTGGCATATGATGCAACCTTGTAAACAGCAGTGGCCTGTCAAACCAAAAAAGAAAAAACATCAAATTAGTTCGGCCTCTCTATACAATGTGTTGACATGTACCTGCAGCCATTTGAAACCAAACATACTAAATTATTTTCTAACATAGACCAGCGAGACTGCCAGGCTATGTGGAAATATATGGAGCAAGTTACCATCCAAATCAAACTAGATTGCAGTTCTGAACAACAGAAGAAAACAAAGCATCATATAAGGTCCAGAAACAAAATGCTACTCCCCTTTCAAGAATGGGAATATAGACTAAAACATCAATGATACATATGATTGCTTTACATTTTCCAATATTCCAAAATTTACTAAAAAAAGGGCAGCCCGGTGCATTTCAAATTTATTTTCCGAATTCCAACCCCCAAAATGTGACATATTAAGCATGAACAAGGCTGTTGACTCGTTCCTGTGTTAATGCAAATAGACATGAGGCATCATTCCTGATAGTGTTTGCTATGTGCAATTTAGGAGTTCAGAAAGTCGATTTAGTGATAGAGCTTGAGCTCAATTATTTTTGCATGATAAATATTTATATATTTCAATTGTTGGGTGGCCACTTTCAAAGCCGCATACCGCAATAGCACTACAAGATTCAGCCACTTGCTAATTACTTGAAATTATACCTTTGATAACGATCAAAATATGATGTTTGGAATGGATCTGGGTCAGAGTTTGATGTGTTCAAAATTTCACGGTAACCTATCAGGCCTTTTCCCATCTTGGTTATAAAATAGGACTATAAATTTTGGATGACTTTACGCTTCACAAACAGCATGCTCATGCTGTCCTACCAATTGCAGAGGATCTAAGCTGATAGGCAGGACGACCAACTATTTGACAGCAGACAAAATGAAATTAACAAGCATGGAAACAAACTAAACTATTAAGGGGGCAGGACTTCATGAGATATATACCTGTCCTCTACCCACAGCACAAACCTCCTGGGTAGTGCAAATTGAACCAGAGCCCATTCCAACACGCAGACCATCCACTCCAGCAGCAATCAAATTCTGTGCCTGCCCAATTGTCACCACATTGCCTCCAATCAAATCCACCTCCGGAAACGTCTTCTTGGCATACTTTATCATGTCAAGCTGATAGGTGGAGTTCCCCTGCGAGCTATCGATCACAATAGCATTGGCCCCTGCCTGAATTAGCTGCTCTAGCCTTCGCTTGTCATCCTCGCGGGTTCCAATAGAGGCTGCGACTACGAACTTCCCATCTGCTCCGAGAGATGGCTTGCCAAGCTTCGGATAGCTCCGAATGCGCTCGACGTCCTTGGAGGTGATGAGGTCGATTACCTCGCCCTCCTCGGACACGAGAGGGGCGTAGTCCAAGCCCTCGTCGGCGAGGAAGGCCGCCGCCTGCTCGAAGTCAAAGGAGGCGGAGGCCGAGCGCGGGGCGGGGCGCATGTACTCGGATACCGGGGCAGGGGCCTCGGGCGAGGCCGCATCGGCGGCCACGGCGACGCCGAGGAGCTTGGAGAGCGAATCCCCTTGCTCGGTGACGAGGGCGTAGTCGTGCCCCGCGAAGTCGTTGAGCGTCGGGGCGGAGGCCGGGGAGAAGATGGGGACGGAGGAGACGAAGGGGAGGCGGCGGGACTTGGCGGCGCGGACGATGGAGGCCTGGGCGCGGGGCTCGGTGTTGGAGTGGACGACGGCGACGCCGCCGAGGGAGGCCATCGCCGCGGCCATGGCGGCCTCGGAGACGGTGTCCATGGGGGAGGCGACGCAGGGGATGGAGAGCGGCACGCGGCGGGAGAGGCGGGTGGAGAGGTCGACGGCGTCGGCGGGGAAATCGATGAACCCCGGGAGGAAGATCACGTCGTCGTACGTGTACGAGACGCCCTGCGAGAAGAGGCGCGCCGCCGAGAAGCCGTCGTCGGCGAGGCTCGCCATTTTTGGGTGGGTGTTTTAGGGTTTTGGCGCTGGCGGCGGCGGCGGCGGCGCGGCGGGCGATGTGGGCTGTGACTGGATGTGCTGCTGGATGGGTCGAGTGAAGATGGGGACCTTTTTAGGTTGCTTGGCGGGCAGTGGGGACAAACCTCCATGACACGTGGGTCCTGCGCGGACTCGTGTCTTGTTTATTTTTTTAGCAACTCGCGGGCTCAGATCTCTCGGTCGCTCTAGCCAAATGCGGGCGCTGTCGTACGTTTTGGGAGCTGATGCTGGGCCGGGACTGCGCCGGGAGCTCCTATGTGCCGCTCCTTTTACGGCAAACAGCTGAAATCACTGCTTAAGTGTCTTTTTTTGCGACTGATTGACACTAGTTAAGAGCTACCTCTTGTGAATGTCACTGTCCATCTTCTCGGATGCTGATAAATGGCGTACCGCACGTGCGTCATTTGTTGTGATCTGAGAGTTTTTTTTAGATTTGTTTATTTAACACGTTTTATCTGTTGAACCATGCGTTCAAATATCCAACTATTTGCACTGTTGAATTTATCACGTTGAGATTTTTGACTAGGTCCCATGTTACTAGTTTTCGACGGAATTTTTTCCCCAAAAATGAGGAAAAAAATAAAAATGAAAAATGAAAAAAGAAATGACCGACAACCAAAAAAATGAATGCCAGAAAAAAACAGAGCCCAGGTGCATAGTTGTGGTTTTCACTTTTGGGAGGGGAAGCAGAGGTTGTAGTTTCACCTTTTCTGGGGAAGCACAGGCTGCACTTCTCGTAGATGCGCATGCTTCTCATATAAGCACATGTCGTTCTTTTTCCTTTTTTTTTGAGAAAGTACAGTTTATGCTTCTTGTGGACGCCTAGGTTGTGCTTCTGATGAAAACATACGTTGTGTTTCTCACGGAAGCGAATCTGTACTTCACGAGGACCATAATTATGCTTCTCGTAGAAACACATGCTATGTTTTTCCTTTTTTCAAGAGACATGGTCGTACTTCTAATAAAATGACAAAAAAATCACCAAAAACTAGGCAAAATCCAAAAAAACGTGCAGCAAACAAAAGAACATCTTCCTGTTGTGTGCGCTCGAAGCACTAGGAGTGTTAGGAGGATATTTCTTATTCCGCGTCTTTAGCGCCAGGGAAGGCAACTGGCGCTCACTCAAAAAAGTTTACCAAATCAAAAAAATCATATATTCAAAAAAGTTCATAAATTCAAAAAGGTTTTTATAAAAGGTTCATCCATTTTGGGAAAAAGTTCATCAATATTCAAAAAAAATCATTTATTTTGAAAAAATAATAATCAAATTTGAAAAAATGTTTATCCAATTTGAAAAAGGTTCATGCATTTTAGAGAAAAGGAAAAGGAAAGTAAAGAGAAGGAAAAGAATAAAGAAAAGAAAAAACAATGGAAAAAGAAGGGAAAACCCCATGGAAAAGCCAGAGGTCCTCTTTTTAGTGTTACAAGTTGACATACATCAATAGAAGGAAAAAACAGTAATTTTGTTATTGTGGTGATGTGTCCCAGGTGGTTATTGCGGTGATCCATGAAAAAGCATTAGTAATTTTGTTTACACATTTTAATGTTACTTGCTTATTGTGAATTATAGGTTATTGCTTTAAAAAGCTTTTGTCCTAAGTTCACACCATAATTGTTACATCATTTGATCAAGAACATGCTAGGTAGCATTCAACATGAAAAAAAATATCTTTCTTTATCGTTTACCTACTTGATGGTGAGCAGGAATTAAGATTGAGGATGTTGATACGTACTAAAACTATATATAATTTTTTATTGTTTTAGACTATTATATTATCATTTTTATATATTGTTATTATCATTTTATATTTATTTTTTGGATTAACCTACTAATTTAGTGCCTAGTGTCGGTTCCTGTTTTCTGCTTGTTTTTACCTCGCCCTCCTCAGTCACGAGAGGGGCATAGTCCAAACCCTCATCGGCGAGGAAGGCCACCGCCACTACCGGAAACACCACAATTATTTTCTTCTTAATGAATGCAAGAACCTGCCATTTTGGAAAAAAAAACTTTTGGACAAATCAACAAAAAATTTGTTTGAATTCAAATATATAGATAAAAGAAAACATAGATCAGACTGAATTTATGTAAAAATTTCGAACAAATCAACATATGGTTTGTTTGAATTCGAATAATTTTAAATTTGAAAAATTGGATAAAAGAAAATATAGGTCAGAATGAATGTACGCAAATTTTCAAACAAACCAACCAATGTTTTGTTTGAATTTGAATAATTTTAAAATTAAAAAAATGTTGATAAAAGAAAATGTATTGCAGAATGAATGTACATAAATTTCTTTTGGACAAATCAGCGGAAAGTTTGTTTGAATCCGAATAATTTTAAATTTGAAAATCTAGATAAAATAAAATATAGTTCACAACATGTATTTCTATCCTAAAGGATATAGTATATCTTAGTAGTCCATATTAAACACAAGCAACAGGTCCCATCATCCTATTTTTTTCAGCCAAATTTATTTACACTGTACACTGACGGGATGCAACCCAGCAGATGACTATGTTATATTGTAGCCATGGTTTGTGCAAAATAAACATCACGTGCGCTCCATCCGCTACCCGCCACTGACAAATGGGCCCTGGCCACGCTGGCGGGCCACATAGGCAGCGAATACATCCACGTACAAAAAATGTTATCGTATTTGCACTCCTGCACAAGTTTAATGACCAGAAACATGAATTTTGCAAGTTTGTGCTCCAAACTTACTGCCACGCATAAGTTCCAAGATTTCAAGTGTATATATATACCTAAAAAAACAGACAACCCAAAATTCTAGCTCAAGTGCTGCATATTTGTAGCTCTGCTTTGTGTTGTAGCAAAACCAATTCGTAACCGCGTGAACGTCAACCATCCCTCAAAAGTTTCCCCATCGACCGACCAGCCACCACCTGACGCCCATTCCGATTGGATCCTGCCGCCCACCCTTCACTGTGTCGAGACCGTTGTATGACACCGGTCCAGTCGCCACCCAGTCGTCTGTTCCCGCTGCTCTGGATGCCTGTCATCGCCCCCGTCGTCGCTGCTCGATTTGTAGAGAATCAGGTCGTTGCCTGCCCTTCTGTTGCTCAATATGGACCATGACACGCGCAGGCCCGGTCCTGAGATTTTGGGGGCCCAGGGCGAAACCATAATACGGGCCCTTCAATATAAGCATCAAAATAATGAATATATGTCTATATGAAATGTTATTTGGGAAATTTTTATTTTTGCCACTCCAAATTTTGCCAATTTTCCTTATGCCACTCTAGGTTTTGCCATTTCACTTTTGCCACTCTTAGTTTTTGACAATTATCACAATTGTTTCCCGTGGCAAAAGCAAAACTTTCAAAGTGGCAATTGTGATAATTATCAAAACCTAAGGGTGGCAAAAATGAAATAAAATTATTTTGCTTTTGCCATAATATGGCAATTGTGATAATTGTCCAAAACTAAGAGTGGCAAAACTGAAATGTCAAAACGTCGAGTGGCATAAGGAAAATTGGCAAAATCTAGAGTGGCAAAAACAAAATTTTCCCATGTTATTTAAATGCATATTAAACCATGTCAAGTAATTTATAAGTATTATTTGAAGATGCAAAGTCACAAATAATATTTTTATCAGGGAAAAGATAATAAGAGACATAATTTATCTAAAATCTTGTAGTTACGGTGACCGATGGGCACAGTGTGGTCTCCTCTCAATGACTCGGCCTCTTGACGTGACCATGTGGTGGCGACGATGGGTTGTCATGAGAAAGAGGCACGGTAGGTCAAGCGTTGGTCGCTAGAGGTAGCACATGAGATCAAGCCAAATTGTGGCTACCAACTTATGAGCCAAATTATGCTCGCGATTGTGCAGGATGAACTAATTTTTTTGGCATGGAAATTAATAAAATTCTTTTTTGTTTGCGGGAAATAGCAAAGAAGATTCAATGACTTAAAATGTGTAATCAACTAGAAAAAACTACAAATATTAAACCCAAAGTTGGATATAGAAGACATACATCACTAAATAAAGGTAATACATCAATCAGCCATCGATTAATAATTTGAAATCAGCTTTTAAAAACTTTTGAATTAGTACTAATACAAAGTAGGGGGTCACTATTTTTATTACAATTATTGCTAATTCCCTCGAGAAATAAGATCAATTGATGCTAATTCATCTTTTCAGATAATGGGCTCGCTAACTCTTGCTGAACCAGTGCCCCATCACAATTTTCCTTTTGAGAACTGACCCACCAAGGCCCAGTCTGCTAAAGAAAGAAAAAGGCCAAGGCCCAATCTGCTAGAGAAAGATAACACTCCAGCCTTCTTCTTCGTCGAGACAAAGAATAGGTTCCACAACTTTTTAATGGCGACTCCAGCCAGCCGTTCCGTGCTCACACATACCTGGGCGGGGGCCCCTTGCCGTCGGGGGCCTCGGGCGACCGCCCCCCCCCCCTCAGGGCCGGCCCTGGACACGGGGAGTAGGCGTGGAGGTTGATACGTCTCCAACGTATCTATAACTTTTTATTGTTTTATGCTATTATATTATCTGTTTAGGATGTTTTATATGCATTAATATGTTATTTTATATTATTTTGTAGACTAACCTATTAACCTAGAGCCCAATGCTAGTTTCTGTTTTTTCCTTGTTTTTGAGTTTCGTAGAAAAGGAATACCAAACAGAGTCCAAACGGAATAAAATTTTCGCGATGATTTTTCTTGGACCAGAAGACACCCATGAGGCTTGGAGTGTGATTATCTATAATTTTTTATTGTTCCATGCTATTATATTATCTGTTTTGGATGTTTAATAGGCATTTATATGCTATTTTATATTATTTTTGGGACTAACCTATTAACCGAGGGCCTAGTGTCAGTTTCTGTTTTTTTGCCTGTTTTAGAGTTTTGCAGAAAAGGAATACCAAAAGGAGTCCAAACGGAATGAAACCTTAGCGATGATCTTTCTTGGACCGA